AATGCATCATAAGTTAGTTATGATGTAGTTAACACAATATTGGATGATAGTCTTTTTTTGTGTGTGTTTTGAACTGAGATAAATCATGGGTCAAAATTGACCCGCGAACACCATGAACGGTAACAGCTTTCGAACACAACACAAGGGTTGAATATAGATGAATACAGATATTACTCAGTAGTATTTATGTGTTAAGAAGCCTGTTGAGATCTTCATATTAGGTTGAATAATTAAAATGAAAGTTAGTTATAATAAAATATAGTCAATTATATTCTTGTATAACCCACAATGAAAATGTTTCATATGTTATGGTTTTCTATATTTACAGTATAAACAAAGTGGTTTGTTAAGTTGAGTGTAAGGCCTATAATGGTTTATGGGTGTCACTGATAAGGGAGAAGGCAGTTTCTTCCCTCTCCCCTCACAGCAGTACACAGGGAGGGGGGCTCCTGACTTAAGGAGAAATACATTGAGGCCCCAAAAAGGTGGTTATGTCATAGCCGAGAATAATATTTTGCAAGTCCTGCAGAGTAGGGGTCATGTCCTTTTTACATAAACATGGGAAGGTGTGTCTTATGCCATAGCCATAGAATATGTCTGGTCAAAGAATATGTCTGGTCATGTCCAGTCCTGTACATCAGAGGCCATGCCCAGTTTCCACAAATATGGGTATGGAGGAGGTGTCTTTGGGTTTTTCTATCCTGTCTTTGAGCATAAAGACACTGGTGGAGAGGGAGCAAACGAGAGAGAGCGGGGGTGGGGGGGGTTCCCCTGGTATACTCTCTCCCGGTAAAAGCTCTCTCCCTGAGAGCTGGGTTTTTGCTCTCTGTCAGGTTCTCTCAAACTTGGTAAATATCTCTCGAATTTCTTTGTGAAATTAGTGGAATGAATTGATGTTTGTTGAAAGTTAGTACCCTGCCACCTGTGAGGAAAGGCCCTCCGAATTCATGCGGGACTAGTTGAAGTATACAAATGTGGAAATGAGCAAATGAACTGATTTGTTGAATGAAAGTTTGAATGTGCTTTTTATTATCACCGGTCATTTATGAGGAAATGCCTCTAAATTCTATCGGGAGATTTAAATATCACAACTGAATTGGGCAGTTGAAGTTACAATTTAATGTAATAAATGTAAAACTGTGAATTAGGGTTGCATATTAGAACATGACCACAGCATGATATGTTTTGTAGGATTATAATGTTAAAGGTAAAAACCCTGTATAAGTTTGGACCTATTTTTCTTCAAATAAACTGATCCCACCTTTTGGACTGGGACAACTTAAAAGACATCTGTGCTCTCCTCTCCTGCTTCAAATGTAATATTGCACACTGCCGCACTCACACTTAGGTAGGGCCACACCTCATTTAGTGATATCAAAATCCTTCGGGATCGCTTAAACAGATTTAGCGGGTCGTCTGAATTGAAACAGCAGTTAATTGAACCTGGTTCTTCAGGAGTTAGTAGAGGTGAGATCTTGCTGACGTTGGTGGATCTGAGCCAAGCAGTAAACTTACATAGACTCAATAACTTCTGTTAGGTCAATTAGTAGGTCTGAGTAATTTGCCGGAATAAATTATCAGCTCCTCCCGACTCTTACCACCCCACTTTTCAAACAAATTCAGTTGGTTAAAGTTCAACAAATGTTTCTATAAAATCTAAGTTGATAAGAAAAAAGCCCAATAACTTATTTGCATAACACGCTTGAAATAAACCCTTCATATTTCCTCTTATGATAAGCAATCTGAGGCTTCTGTTTTAAGGAATGAGCTGCAAACAAGATAAATGAAACCCTATGGAGAGCTGGGATGTAGGCTGTTTGTTTTCTTAAAGCATTTTCAAGTATTAAGGATCATTTACCTACATTTGATTTATTTTGCTGACTTATAACTGAACTTATGAGGCAATATACCTCACCTCGAGTGAGGGGCCCAGCTCTTCGTAACTGCTTCTTTCAGAACGCTGCTGCTCGAATCCTCACTAACACTAAGAAAGTGGATCACATCACTCCTGTTCTGAAGTCTTTACACTGGCTTCCTGTGTGTCAAAGAATAGATTTCAAAATACTGCTGCTGGTTTATAAAGCTTTGAATGGTTTAGGCCCAAAATACATTTCTGACCTACTGCTAAATTATGAACCATCCAAATCTCTCAGGTCTTCAGGGACTGGTCAGCTTTCTGTCCCCAGAGTCAGAACTAAACATGGAGAAGCAGCGTTCAGTTATTATGCTCCAAATATCTGGAACAAACTCCCAGAAACCTGCAGGTCCGCTGCAACTCTGACTACTTTTAAATCCAGGCTGAAGACTTTTCTTTTTGTCGCTGCTTTTAATTGAACTATTTACATCTTAAACTGCACTGTAACTTTTATCCATATATTTATTCTTTTAATGTTTATTTTATTATCTTTTCTTTTTAATGACTGATTTTAAATGCCATTTCCTTAATGTCTTTCGTTTTTTGTAAAGCACTTTGAATTGCCTTGTGTTGAAAGGTGCTATATAAATAAACTTGCCTTGCCTTCTGTCAGACCCTGAGGGGCATAAAGAAGGGCTCGTCCGGGATTTGAACCCGGGACCTCTCGCACCCTAAGCGAGAATCATACCCCTAGACCAACGAACCATGCACACATCAGTAGGCTGTCTATTATTGGATCTACAAACTGCCACGTTGTCCAAACTTCTTGCAATGGTCCAGTCTTCTTCAGATAAACCACAGTGCCATCTGTGGGACGTTTTTAGTACTGCAGCCAAAACACAAGGCATCACTCACCCCAACAGTTTCCAAATTATGTCCTGTTTTATGCTTGGAAAATATCAAAACATCTATGTAGTTTAACATTTAATAACTCAAATACACACCTTAAAGTCACCAGTATATCATACAATATTGTATTTATAATGTATTGTTTTCTGAGTCAGGTAGACATGGACATTTTTATTTGAATGTTCGACTGTTTTAAATTGATATTAATAATTTGTCACGATTTATGAGCTATATATATTTCCTGGCTTTAAATACTATATGCAGTGTGAATATGAAATGTTTTCCTTTATGTTTACTGAATGGTAACAAACCTTTTTGATAGGATTATTCTTTTTTATAAATAATGTGTTCATACTTTTCCAATTAATTTTTTCCTATTTTTAAACGTGTTTTGTTTTATGACTATTATTTTTTTTAAGTCTTTTGTGAATTAACTTACTGGAATGAATTAAGCTTCTGGGTGTGAATTATTTTATTTTTGTGAATTTAATTGCATTTATTTATTCCCTCATTTACTTATCAATAAGTATAGTGACAATATTGATCTTCAGCCTTGTGTACGCACTACATATAATTATTTTAGAAATTACTGTAAATATTAAATTACATAATTGAGTTACTAAAATAAAGTAATTTTCTGATAAAACTATACATATCAAAAGGGATGGATAAAGTTCCTCTGTATAAACTCTCTGGCAATTAATAGATTTCTTTACAGTATATTTTCATACCACTGCTACGCTGATGACACCCAATTAATTCTGCTCTTTCCCCGCTCAGAGACCCAGGTCGTCGCACGCATCTCTGCTTGTCTAGCTGACATCTCTCAGTGGATGTCTGCTCATCACCTCAAGCTCAACCTTGACAAGACTGAGCTGCTCTTCCTTCCGGGAAAAGATTGTCCCACTCTTGACCTAACAATCAACATCGGCACCTCAGTTGTTTCCCCGACTCAGACTGCAAAGAATCTGGGTGTGACCCTAGATAACAACCTGTCCTTCACTGTAAACATAGCTGCCACAACCCGTTGCTGCAGATACACGCTTTACAACATCAGGAAGATACGTCCCCAGCTGACCCAGAAAGCCATGCAGGTTCTGGTCCAGGCTCTCGTCATCTCACGCGTAGACTACTGCAACTCCCTCCTGGCTGGTCTACCTGCATGTGCCATCCGACCTCTGCAGCTCATCCAGAATGCAGCGGCTCGTCTGGTCTTCAACCTGACTAAATTTTCCCACACCACTCCGCTCCTCCGCTCCCTTCACTGGCTTCCGGTAACTGCTAGAATCCACTTCAAGACACTGGTACTTGCTTACCATGCTGTGAATGGATCTGGCCCTTCGTACATCCAGGACATGGTTAACCTGTACACCCCAGCGCGTGCACTACGCTCTGCATCAGCCAAACGACTCGCTGCGCCCTCGCTGCGAAGGGGACCCAAGTTCCCATCGGCAAAAACACGTGGGTTTGCTATCCAGGCTCCAAGATGGTGGAATGAGCTCCCCATTGACATCAGGACAGCAGATAGCTTGCACATCTTCCGGCGCAGATTGAAAACTCATCTCTTTCGACTCCACTTCGAGCGATAGAACTATTAACAAAGCACTTATATACTAATAAAGGACTGGCTTATCTAAAGCCAGTTGAGTAGCACTTGAAATGTTTGGCTCTATGAAACCTGATGTACTTATATGATTCTGTTTTCTTCAAGGTCGTGTCTTCCTGGTCGAATGCACTTATTGTAAGTCGCTTTGGATAAAAGCGTCAGCTAAATGCAATGTAATGTAATTTTAAAACGTGTACGCTGCGTACTGCACCTTTAAATGCATTCAGACCCAATGCTTTCTGGGCTGTTGGGGTCTGAGGTCTGTGTTCCTGAGAAAGTGTGTGTGAGCTCCAGCACTACTGATCCATCATCTGTGTGTCTGGATAAACCTCTGAATGGACTGTGTGCTCTTTTTTCTGGAGCGTTTACCTCGGTGTATAGGAGCTAGCTTAGCATGCTAGCTGGAAACACGTTAGCAACGCTAGTCAGATTGAGAGTTTGATGGAGAGAGAAACGGTGTGTTTAACGGAGCTTGCAGGAAAAGGTGATCCAGTAAACACAGACTCACACCTTTGAAGAAAAGAGAAATCCATCTGCTTATAAAAACACAACACACCTGTATAGTACCTTCAGATATCTCTCCAGATGCAGTGAAACATAAAATACACATCTCCATATAACGGCCACATATACAGCATGACATTAATCCCAGTTTTATTCATATATAATATTATATCTTAGTTTGCTTTACATAAAGTCAACAATAAGAAAAGGCAACATGCAGGTGATAGCAGCACATTTAAAACACAAAGAGAACATTGAACGCAACATTTTGAAACACAAGGAGACATTTTATACTTTCAACCTCCACAAAAAATAGATGTTAAAGGTAGTGCTCAAATCTTACCACAAAATAGAAAAGGTGATGAAATTATTTATATTGTACGTCTAATGCTGCCTTTTATTGAACCACAGGCAGCAGTTTCTCCTTCTGTTCGACTGAAATACAGCAGAACTTAAATGGCTTTTTAATAAGTATTGCAGCACCTTTTACTTTGGTTTAAGGGGCTTTATCATTGCATCTGATATACTGACCACTAGACGCCATCTTTACAACTATTCAATACCTTTTAGATCTTAAACACTGACACGGAGAACACTTTATCGAGTCAGCTTTGCAGAGAAGTTAACTAATTCAGAGAGTAAAGAGCTGCTTCTTCCTCCGTGTGTCGATAGGATGCCAAACGAGCACAATAAGGCTCAAAATGTTAACGTAAACATGGCTTTTCTGTGCAAGAACTTCTTCCTACACACAAATCAGAATGACTGCCACAGGCCGATTTCTCGTACACAGAATTTAAAGTGCGTTTCCTGTCATCATCAAGTTGGAAATCCTTTGTTTACACGAATAATGCGTTATTGCTCGCATCATATTTCATTTTACTTGGAAAAATATAAATTAAAAGGTCTTTAGTGTAAGGAAATAGTCTCTGCATTTTTATTTAACTTTCATAGTCACATGACCAGAGTACCTGAGGTGACAGCTTCACAAAAGACTCAGTAGTCTGTCGGCATTATCAAGAATAACCCTGTGAATAACAATGGTAACAATAATAATGTGCAAATTATAAAACATGGTTATTTATATTGATGTTTTTATCCTAAAACGACTTGGAGAGAACATCAGTAACACTTGAAACAGACAAGGAGGCTGATGCTGCTGCGGGGGCTTTTAAAACAGTTCATTTAGGAGTAAAAATGTATTTAAAAAAAAAAAAAAGGCTTTTAAAGGGGGGTGGGGGGTGGGGTACAGAAGTCTGACAGGCCCATGGCTGGAAGGGGCTGATGGGAGAAGTGGAGGGGGAGTTATAGGACCTTCTGGAGGATGGCATTGGGCACTTCCAGAGTCTCGTCTTTCACCAGGACGATGTCGTAAGAGTCCAGATATTTGTCCAGCCGCTCCTCCACCTGCAGAGGAGCACCACAGGGAGCAGGGTATGGGAATGAATGCATTACAGAACTGAATGTCCTCTTCCAATATGAGAGTCCACATGATAACAAAGGTATCCCAACTGTAGCTGTGAACATGACAGGATGTCTGATTACCTAGAAGAGCATCAGGACTGTTTGAGGCATATGATAGCTATGTGATTAACATGATGATTCAGCCTCTATGGAGATAGACATATGACAAGCATGCTCATTTCTGACGTGGAGCTAATCTGAAGTAAACATTGAATACTGCTTTCTATTCCTCCATCTTGTGACTGTGTGACTCCCTCTCTTGGATATCAGCATGTGAAGGACACTGTTCAGGAACTAGTTGATGCTCTGTATGTGATGACTACTTCCATTCTGGAAAGGATCACAGATACATGGATCCTGATGTTGAAGATCAAGCCGGGGACCAGTGAGACTTTCCTAACACTGACCTCCCTATTTTCTGTTTGTTTTCGTGTCCGTGGCCATGTGTCTGTACCTTGTCGTTGAGGAAGCCGATCTTGAGGATGTTCTCCACGTTGGGCGCTCCGTCGGCCATGCTCAGGTCCCCAAGGGAGTCCCCCATGAGGATGATGTTGCTGTACTCCTTCACCTGTTTGAAGTACTCCGTGTTCCTCAGGGCACTGTCGTGTTTGTTGTACACGTGGATCAGCTCGCCTTTAAAACCCTTCAGGACGCCCTGAGAGAGGAGGAGCAGACAACACCAGCGTCAAACAGCACGCTCTTAAAGGTCCCCTATTATACTGTTTTTCATCAATATATCACAGGTCTCAGATATATACAGAGCCTGTCTCTGATTGGCTGAAACACCAGACAGATCATTGCAGCATTACCCATAATCCCCTCTGTTTCAGCCCCGTTTCCAAAGTGCTGATTCTCTGTCTGTTACTTTAGATGAAAATAAGGAGCCCCTCCCCACGCCCCTCTGAGAGAGATTTGGTTACAAAGAACTCAATGGTGCTCTAGGAGGAGATTCAGGTGATAAGGGGGGGGGGGGTTACCTTGGTTGCTGATTGGCTAATGGTTACACAAGACAAAACATCGTTATGACATCATAAAGTGGCCAAAAATCTGATCAGCTCATTTTCAGACAGGTTTTTATAGAAATGGATCAAAAAGAGAGAGAATCTTTGTTCCTGAAACTTTCAGAGTCTCTTTCCACAGAGGGGGCACATGTTGATGTAGAAGAGACATGAAGAAGAGGGGACACATGTTGATGTAGAAGAGACATGAAGAAGAGGGGACACATGTTGATGTAGAAGAGACATGAAGAAGAGGGGACACATGTTGATGTAGAAGAGACATGAAGAAGAGGGGACACATGTTGATGTAGAGGAGACATGAAGAAGAGGGGACACATGTTGATGTAGAAGAGACATGAAGAAGAGGGGGACACATGTTGATGTAGAAGAGACATGAAGAAGAGGGGACACATGTTGATGTAGAAGAGACATGAAGAAGAGGGGACACATGTTGATGTAGAAGAGACATGGAGAAGAGGGGACACATTTTGATGTAGAAGAGACATGAAGAAGAGGGGACACATGTTGATGTAGAAGAGACATGAAGAAGAGGGGACACATGTTGATGTAGAAGAGACATGAGGTAAGAGGGGACACATGTTGATGTAGAAGAGACATGAAGAAGAGGGGACACATGTTGATGTAGAAGAGACATGAAGAAGAGGGGACACATTTGATGTAGAAGAGACATGAAGAAGAGGGGACACATGTTGATGTAGAAGAGACATGAAGAAGAGGGGACACATGTTGATGTAGAAGAGACATGAAGAAGAGGGGACACATTTTGATGTAGAAGAGACATGAAGAAGAGGGGACACATGTTGATGTAGAAGAGACATGAAGAAGAGGGGACACATTTTGATGTAGAAGAGACATGAAGAAGTGGATTTTGCATAATAGGTGACCTTGAAATCAAAAGGCTTCAGAAGAAGAGAGGGGGAGGACAAAGCCCCCAGGAAGAACGCCAGGTCTTTGAAATACATTTTCAACAAATGGTGGTATGGTAACCTCTGTGTTAGTCACGTGACTTCATTGGGGCCAGAAAATACTTTTTCCTATTGGCTTACATCTGGGAAGAGAGGTCTGGAAATCAGCTTAACAGTTTGTTTTTAGCTAAATTAACTTCACTGTCTGAGCACTTGAATATTAATGATTAGGTCTTAAAAGTTTTAATTCGCTAAAAGACAAATCCAGAGGTATTCTCCGTCCTCTTTTTATTGAACCTCCTGTTATGGAGTGGCTGGAAGGCGGGTTTAAGAATAGGAGGCGGGCGTAAAAGTGGGGTTTAGATCCAGGTGTTGTTTTGGCTTAATGCGCCACAGATCAACTTTCATGGGCCGACCTCCGGCACCATATCCAGTTCTCTTTAAACATCCATGGGGGGGGGGGGGGGGGGGGGGGGGACTCACGTTTTCATCAAAGTCCATGAAGTTTGGAGACGACCTTGACGTTGGGGTGGTAGACTCCGGCTTGGCGGATGATCTCCTCCAACACGTCGCCCAGGCCGGCGGAGAAGATGAAGACGGGCACATCGTGCTGCTGCAGGCGGTCGAAGAACTGCTCGTAGCCTTCCCTGGAAGTTTAATTTATATTTAGTGATATAGGAGTTACAAGACAAGTGCATACAAGTACAGTGTCACAGATACACAGAAGACAGTAAGGTGGATTTACAAGTAAAGACAAATAACCGCAGGTCCTTCCTTCCTGCAGCGGTCAGACTATATAACTACCACGGCCCCTAGTAGACCGTAGACCACACACACACACACACACACACACACACACACACACACACACACACACACACACACACACCACACCACACACACACACACACACACACACACCACACACACACACACACACACACACACCACACACAACACACACACACCACACACACACACACACCACACACACACACACACACACACACACACACACACACACACACACACACACACACACACACCTCTTGTCGTTAACCACCAACTATGTGCATATATATATGCCGTTAATAACTGCTATATATACCTGGCTGCTCAATCATCAGAACTGTTACAGGACATGTATTTTTGTAAAATGTGTAACTTTTTTTAATTATAATTTCTTTTTTTATCTTTAATACTTTTGTATGCATGCTTCTTAGGTAACATTAAGCTGTCTTTGGCTCTTTTCTGCTGTAACAAAGTATAGTCATGTATCCTGGGGGGGGGGCTGTAAATAGTAGCAGGACCTTGAAGACCTTAAAGGAGTAGAAAGGGGTGGTGGCTGATATCAGAAGGCTTTTTGTTTTGAATGTGTGCAGTATTGTATCTGTTTAATTATTATTACATGTCACTTGTTAGACACTTTTATCCAAAGCGACTTACATACTCAATACTGTGGATATTTGGGGTGAGTCTTGCCCAGGGACACAACGACATGCTGACTGCAGTGGGGTTTGAACCTGTGACACACTGATCCGAACACCAACGCACAACCCACTGCACCACACGCCTTTAATCTTCTCTTAACCTCACTGTGAGGTTTCATAACAGGGTCGTCAGTTGAAAACTAGCATCAGATATAAACACTGACACTTGCATTGGATAGCTGTTTTTCAACTAGTCTATGTATGTGGTGCCTGACCCTATCGAATAAACCACAAATAAACATACACATCATATAAAAAGGCAGTGAAATCAGTAGAGAAATCTGTGTTTTAAGTGTATTAGAGCAGAGAGGATGAAAGCATAGCGACATATGTATAAACTAGTGCTGTCAAAATTATCGCGTTAACGGCGGTAATTAATTGCGTTAAAATATTTAACGCATTTAACGCATGTGCAGAATGGCCCGCCCCATACCAGTGGCAGCGCCAGGGTATGGCTGGGGTAGGCTACACCCATACCAAGAAATGGCTTAGCCCCACCATGAAAAATGATGTTAAGTAAGCAAAATAAAGTCTGCCAACTCGCGGAGTAAATTGCACAGACAGCAGTTAGTAAGATTGATTTCAGTAGCCACGGTTTTGAAAACTTTTGTCACGTAGTGATCGTCTTCTCAATAGAACATCTTTGATAACGGCGTGGTGTTGTTGCAGGAAGTCCAGACGGAGAATACTTTTGCTGTAGTACAGGGGGGCACATAACTGGTACGCAGGTTATGTGCGTAATCTGAAATGCGTAGGCTACCGTCACTTGTGTCTCAAAGCGCATTTGCGTACCGACGTACTTGTGAAGCTTTTCCAGAAGGCGGTTAGATCATCGGACGACAGAGTCGGTCTCCGTGTGCACAGACAGGGCTGCTGTTAACGTCGGTCTGTACAACGGAATTGTGCCAAAACTACGCCAACCGGCTGCGGAGGGAGACTCTCCCCCTCCCCCCCCCCCCCCTTCACTGGAGAACTGCGCTACAACAGCTGATCACAACGTTCACACTCTGTGGTCACGAAGTACTCCACTAGCCGCCGCCCCCCCCCCCCCCCCCCCCCCCCTCTGTCGACTTTCCTGAAGTACTCCCCCGTTGATAGAAATCAACACGTAATGAATTAAGACCCCACGGTTTGATGATTGATAGGTGTGTGGGCTGTCTTTCATTTTGACACGCAGAAAAATGTTATAATAAACATAGATACTGTATGTTAAATGGATATATCCGCCTTCTTTCATTTATCTTTCCATTCCCACAACAATATACATAAATAAATGGCATATTTTGGACATAGTTCGAATGGTGATTAATCATGATTAATTAATTTTTAAGCTGTGATTAATCTGATTAAAAATGTTAATCGTTTGACAGCGCGAGTATAAACACATAATCATTAATAGGTTAGACTCATGTTAAAGAGCCAGTCAAATGTTTTCTGTCCTTAAAAAAGGTACAAAACACCTCCAAGTATTTCCTGAGCCCTCAGTTGTGGCCCCTTTTTAGATAAGGGCATCAGCATCAGCTAAATACCCACAATGCAACAGTAAAGTGTGCAGATGAGCGTGGAGGAACAGGTACCTGAGAGCAGCCTCAGACTCCCTCACCACCTCAGGCAGTTTGTCTTTCTCCAGCCGCTGCTCCACAAGGAGTGTGTGGGACTTGAAATACCTGCAGACACACACACACACACACACACACACACACACACACACGGAAATCAATCAGAATAATATTTTCATCCCGTGGAAATTTGATTTTGTGACATATGCTCCTTAGAATGAAATAAAATATATTAAAACAAATTAAAACATTTTTTTGTATAGAAGACAAGAAAAAAATGTGCAATCAAAGGATAAACTCAAATATATTTATGTAAACATAAGTAGTAAGAAATATGCAAATTGTCCTACAATATGTAACATGTACACTATATATAACAATATACTAGGGATGTAACAATACCAAAACTCACGGTACAATAATATCGCCACCCACACCGCAGTATTTTTTTCTTTTTTTTTACCCAAAAAATATATTGTATATTATCGGGGCTATTAATACTGGTATCGGGTTTATCGGGATGACTTCATAATTCCTAATATCGGACCGATAATTATCGGGCCGATAATTATCGGGCCGATAATTATCGGGCCGATAATTATCGTGCACCACTACTTGGTACTGATGTTGCTGGGACAGAGATATGCTTTGGCCATGGGTGACAGCAGTGGGTCAAACTGTGCATCGTCTCTCCACCACTTCAAAAACAATACAGTGTTTGCCAAGAAGGTGAGGCTTATTGACAGAGATATAAATATACTGTTGGTACTTGTCAATGTCTCTAGGTGTGTACATGTAGCCCTGTACGATGTCCTTTTGTGTTATCTGTTGTTTTATGTTCATGTTGTAACCTACTTGCTGCCATGTTGTACAGGTCTCCCTTGAAAAAGAGATCGATGATCTCAATGGGACCACCTGGCTGAATAAAGGTTTAAAAAAATATATATAAATAAATCGCGGTACATTTTGTCAGTCTCACGACGGTATTGAGAGATTTATTTACCGCGATATTCGATATATCGTTACATCCCTACAATATACACAGCGGCATATTTGTATTTTTAAGATATTAAAGGCCCAATTGCACAAGCATATATTGCAAAGTGTATTCTGCAGGTGGTGAGCAGGAAAACAAGTATGTGTGTGTGTGTGATATGAAAGGTGTGTCTGCGTGTGTGTGAAATGAAAGGTGTGTGTGTGTGTGTGTGTGTGTGTGTGTGTGTGTGTGTGTGTGTGTCTCACCACTCCACCATGAACGGGTATTTCTCCTCCATGGTGAGGTTGGGGTCGATCTCGATGGGGTAATATTTATTCTTCAGCTGCAGCAGCTTCTGTCTGCAGTCCTCCGTCACCAGATTACAGTTATCAATGATATCTGCAGCAGGAAGGAGGCACAGGCCAATAGCATGAGGGTTTGAACAGAGCTGAAGGTCGTTGCTTTGGTGCAGCATGGAAGCCAAGTGCAAACAACAGCAAAGGAAACACTTTAATGTGAAATATGTGCAGAGAAAATACTGCATCTGTCATAACACGGAAGGCTAGCAAGGGGAGGGTTGTAGATGAGGTTAAGGTTCAAGTTTATTTATATAGCACCTTTCAGACACATAGGCATTTCAAAGTGCTTTACATAAGCATTAACAGTTTAACACACAAGAAAATATAACATAAATAACCTTAAAAAAGAAGACAATTCATGAAAGAGGTAGAAAGACGTGACAAATCATTATTGTAAAAACAGTTGATTCTGCGAGAGATGCAGAAGTCAAATAATAAAATGTTATTATATGACCTCTGGAAGAAGCATCTAAAGGTTTGGAGCCCCGATATCAGCCCTATTGTTTTAGAGAACTTTGTGACAATCTGCCTTTGTTTCTGATTGGTCCATCAGTGAGAGAGGACGTCAAGATGCTCCCTCACTCAGTGATGTCACTATGTTAAGGAAGTGAAGGGGGAGTGTGTGGAAGAGAAACTCACTCTGGAGGGAATACAGGGATTTTAGCCTTGGCAGACCATTTACATGCACTAAAACCAGTCCTCAAAGACCTCCACTGGCTTCCTGTCTCCCATCGCATCAACTACAAAATTCTGGTCCTCACCTACAAAGCACTCCACCATCTGGCCCCACCTTATCTCACAAATCTTCTCACTCCTTATCAACCCCCACGGTCCCTCAGATCCACCGCAGCCGGACTCCTATCCATTCCCACATCCACACTCTGCAGCTTTGGGGACAGAGCCTTCTCAGTGGCATCCCCCAAGATCTCCGTGACTCTGACGGCCCGTCCACACAGCAGCGTTAAAAAATCTTCCAACGCTTCTGCCCATTCACTTTGAATGGGGTGACGTCACGTTGCCTCACTTTTCGCCGAACTGCATTGTGGGAAGCAAAGCGGAGATTTCCAGGATTTTCAGGATTCAAAAGTTGAACAATGTTCAACTTTTGAAGCTGAGGTGGAAGCGTCAGCCAATCAAATCCCGTTTATGCAAATCTGACAGTACAAGCGCTAGCCAATCAAACCGCATGCAAGCTGGGAGAACCAGTTCATTTTCTATATTCCTAAAAATGGAGGAGAAGTTAGTTATTGCTGTAGCAAATCACCCGGTTCTTTATGACCAGTCGCTAATAACTTACCGGGATACAAACCGGAGGAACCAGGCATGGAGGGAGGTGGCAGAGACAGTGGGTGAAACTGGTAGGTTTTCGCCTGTTTGGGGATTTTATATCCAATTTACTTCGTTTTAACATTGCTATTGCTTTGTATGTCGGGGGCGGGAGATTCATGTGATTGGTTGTTGGTCACGTTGCTCGCAAAAAATCCCCAAGCTTCAGATACGCCCACCTCCAAGATTTTTTTTAACGCGGCTGTGTGGACGTACCGTGAGTCTCACTCTTTCAGTCCCGCCTCAAAACACAAATGTTCAACTCTGTCTACCCATAAGCCCCCTCCCCTCTCAATCAACTTCCTCTTGACTGCCTTTTTTTTATTTATTTTACTATATTTATTTGTTTCCCTGTCCTTGTTTGTCTACCCTCCCTCATACTGTAAAGCGTCTTTGAGTTGTGAAAAGCGCTATATAAATAAAATGTATTATTATTAAAACCTACACTACAGGGATGGGAAAACCCCAAAAGAGCAGAATAGGGCCCTTAAAGTAATACTTCTTCAGCCTAAACGTGACATTGAGACATGTCTTGTTTTCTCGCTGTACTTACTGTGACAGGACGGGCAGCGTTTTCCGTTGACAGCGAACTTGCTCAACGTCATGTCGAAGTCCGTGATGATCTGCAACAGAGCCGAGGACATTACGTTTACCGGAAACATACACGGAACTCTGGGTTTTCTGTGCTAGTCTACAGGCTCAAAAACATTTCAATTAACGCATTCATCTCTTGGTATGATTGGACTATTTGAGTTCATGATTTGGAAATAATACATGAGCACAGAGAAAGTGTGTTTAAGATTAAGGTTGGTTCATTTTTCCTAAGGTGACATGTTCTGCTTTCTGACAAAGGTAACATGTATTTAAACTAAATGCACATAAATACTGATTATTTCATATATTGCTACATTTTCAGTGACTTCAACACAAAAGCTTAAGTTATTAAAAACAAAAGCCTACCTTTAGATACATACAATTGGTAGTTGTTTTATCGTTAAAAACCATGTCCTTTTCTAAATCAAATTGTTCAAAAAACAAGTATATTTACGTAATTTCTATGTTAAAAATAATAATGCTTGACAGAGCGTTGTCTTGTTGTGGGATAACTGTTTACCAGTAGCCATATCTTGTTATTTTGTAGGGTTGTTATTTTAGAAAAATAGATTCTACATGGATCTCGATTCTTTCCGGTATCGATTTCCCCCTCCCCATATTTATCAAGAGGTTATTAGATTCAAGAGTCAAGGCTTTTATTGTCATGTGTACATAGCTACAGTGTATATGACAATGAACATCTTAGGCTCCTCCCACAGTGCAACACGATAAAACTGATAACATCGTACAAGTAAATACAAATACAATTGAATATAATAGAAATAGTGCAAGAATAGTCTATATACAAGTAATTGGCATATTGATATATGAGTTGCAAACAGATGAAGGTTATGAATGTTCTTTCAGAAGTTCAGGTGTTTACCAGTCTTATGGCCTGTGGGATGAAACTGATCCTGAGTCTGGTGGTTTTAGACCTGATGCTGTGTAGGTTATGTTGCATTTAGATTATTTACAGCTTATAAATCTCTATTTTCCAGTTGCCACAGCTTCAATACCACCAGGTGGCGATCTCTGACGCAGCCTCAGGGTATCTACCTGTAGTTTGGACGCGCCTCCTTTGATGAGGCCGCAGATGATCTGCTCCACCCTCTCGGGGTCCCTCATGTGCACCGTCGGCTTCTCAAACTGAGGCATCTGCAGAGAGAGAGAGAGAGAGAGAGAGAGAGAGAGAGAGAGAGAGAGAGAGAGAGAGAGAGAGAGAGAGAGAGAGAGAGAGAGAGAGAGAGAGAGGGCGTTTTAAACTGATGTTTGTATCTTTATTTTATTTATTTTTTCAGACAGAGGGTGAAAAGAGGTGCTGCAGCAGTATGAGAAAAATAAAGAGCTTTTTGAACATTAAAGCATGGAGACATGTCCCAGTAGAGCAGGGGTGGGGAACATTTTTCCTCTCAAGGGCCATTTCAATGTTTTCAACATCCTCCGAGGGCCGTACAAATTATTGACCTCTGCTTAAAAAAACTAAAATCACAGCCCATTCATTTCACCTTTCTTTCATGCTGTGCAAAGAAAAAGCAACCTCTCAATCCAGATATCTTGCCATGACTCACGCATGCATGTGCACGGTTGTGGCATGACCACCAAAACAGAAAGATATGGACACAAGATGTGTGCAAATGTATTTAGACTCCTATCCATGTGAACATGATTTAAGTGGGGGGGACCTAACCTCCTCTAGGGGGGTCCGGGGGCATGCTCCCCCGGGAAGATTTTTTTTTTTTAAATGTTGAAGTTAAAAGCATCAATCTGGTGCACTTTGAGAGCAACATTAGGAGATCTATGGATACATCTCTCAACACCCATATGAAACAGAACTGTAAGCAGATTTTCTTTTTCTTTATGGGTATTTTACAAATCACTCCCCTTTCAAACTGTATTCTTGTTTATTAATAACAACTTGTTTTTACTGTCATATAGTATTTTATACCCGTTTACTTTATTCTCTTATTTGTTTTATAACTATAATGATCATATAAAGATGTGCCTTTACCTCACTGGTTGTAGAAAAAGCTTCTTATATTCGTTAGCATAGCTAGCTAACCAGATGCTAATAACAACAAAGTTATTGACTGTCTGATCAGTGTGACAGATGAACAGATCGCCACTGGGCTTTCAACTAAAGACAGCCACGCAAAAACTGCAGCATGTGTACGGCTCCTTATGGGTACTGACATTTTTGGAAGTGCCGGAGCGGAGCGGCGTTCTGGTGCTCACTGCTCTCCGTCAGAACTACACCCCTGTCAGACGAGACATATACCACGTGATGACACGTTAGGCTTGTGTTGTGTTCAAGGACTCTGACCTTGGCCAGGAAAAACAGGCACTCACTTGTTTAATTATTTTGCGATCTAGATTTCTTTAATTTTTTTCTTTTTTGCGTGTGTTTATAAATTACCTCGAGGGCCACACCAAATGGTCTCGCGGGCCGTATACGGCCCGGGGGCCGGAGGTTCCCCACCCCTGCAGTAGAGACTCTTTAAAGTAGAGACACTACATACTGATATACGCCTGAACATCAGCAGGAGAGGACTCTTTAAAGTAGAGACACTACATACTGATATACACCTGAACATCAGCAGGAGAGGACTCTTTAAAGTAGAGACACTACATACTGATATACACCAGAGGCCTGTACTATGAAGCCGGATGTTCTCTTAGCCGGCTAACTTCAGGGAAAACTTGGGGTTTCCCGTCCTACGACGCTGGTTCTCTTTTTAGCAGGCTAGATCTCCATGGTAACTTGTGCTGAGCGGCTAGCCTGCTCCGGAGCAGGTTAGGTTGCAGGTTAAGAGCTCAACTCAGTGAAAGCACTGCCTGCTGACCAATCAGAGCTCAGTGTGCGGAGTTTAAAGCGATCAAGTCATATTACAGGAGAAAGGAAATACAGAAAAGCTGCCGTCGCAGGAAAGACGGCCGGCAAAAATCACAGACTGTGTGAACGTGAACATGAATAGAATATCACCTCCATCTTCAGAGCAATCTGACTATTATAACATTAGTGTTAAGAAAGCTTACTTAAATATCTGCCACAACATAAGTAACCGGATCAGAGTAACATTAAGTACAGTCCGCGGCATATCACTTCATAATGTATCATATATTTCCTTATCTGAGTCAGCTGAGCCGTATCTGGCCGTGCAACACTCACAGTGTCACATACTGTATGCAGAAGTATTATTTTAAGCAACACATTAAGTTGACTGAAACACTCGAGTACAAATGTAATTAAAGTCAGATCGTGTTTTAGACGGGGCAGTGATATCATAAACCTGTTAATGTCCGCATTCAAACACTTGTTCTTTTACCAGTTGTATTCACCTTGCAGGTGCAGCTCTGTGGCTTTTATCCTGGATAAAGAGTTTAAGTCATGGATGTTTAAAGTTTAACTTATTCATATGTCTAATTATATAGTATAATAATACTTTTCATTCAGGAAGTATGACGCTGCGCTGTCAGTACGCTTGTCCATGTTTGTGATTGGTCGAATGCTCCAAATACCACCCCTCTCATGTGAACGCGCACCTAACTAGATAGGACACGGCTGGCTTGAGCGATCCACTTGATAACCCGCGTTGTAGGACCGCTTAGCGAGAGCGCGTATGTTTTGGATTAGGCCAACCGGCTAACTCAAACATATCCAGGTTAGGTTGAACCGGCTTCGGAGTACAGGCCTCTGAACATCCCCTTTTAAAGCTCTTTCTGATGTAACAACGTTGACAGTTGAGTGTTACACACTGTGCTGATGAAAGGCAAATAACATAAGGACTAAAACACAAATACACACGGCAACATCCCCACTTCCACCTTCTTATATAATCAGCATCAGAAACATAACACCTAGAGCACAAACTAAAAATAAATCTTCTTTCCAGACAACTCTCTAATAAGAATAACACACACTTGTGTAATATTGCAAAGAGCCAACACCTAATATCTGCCGAGTAAAGGTTTGTACTCAAAGAAGAAGTGTGTCACTCTCCGATTCTCGATTGTTTTGCAGTATTGCCTTTGAAAAACATCGACGCCTGTAGTTGTACATTACATTTCAGTATGAGTCAGTGTGAGAAAAAGTTTTTAGAGAGTACTTGTCCATGGACAAGTGAGTTTGGAAATGTACTTGTCCGAATACATTTTTCACTTGTCCAGAATGGACAAAAATTGAGGCCACTGGAATCTTCTTCTTCGTCATCGTATTTTACACAGTTTTTACGACACCGCTAACGTAAGTCAGCGGTAAGATTTTACTGCATCACACATAGGGTTGGATATCGTTTGGATTTTAACGATTCCGGTTCTGCTTTTCAATTCCGGTTATTTTCGGTTCTCGATTCCGGTTCTTTGAGAGGGTCAAAATAAGTCAAACTGGGAGAAAAATATATTTATGAAAACATTAAGTCAAATCCTATTTACAAATCACTTCATACCGTTTAATTTCTTACAGTTATTGAATACAATTATATAAAAATAATATATGCATTGTTTAGTTAGTTCTAGTTTGAGAATGTACAATTGGCCCAGTCTCCTCTGATGTTACACTGCAACCTGCCTGTGAGACAGAGTCCAACCACACATGTCCAACACATAGGACATAACCTAATGATAATACTAATAATAACAATACAGAGAGAGAGACGCTGAGCTGCACCGTGCAGCGATCAGCTGATACGGAGCATATGAGAGAGCTGCAGTCCGCGGGGCTCGGCCTCGCCTCCTGTCCTCACAACTCTTATTAATCCCGGTACCGGACAATTGTTATTTGTTCCTACTCAGAACCGAGTTTGGCTTCCCAACCTTGCCATAGTGCTACACTTCCCGCCCCGCCCCGCCCCTGTCTAACTGTACAGAAAGCGGTGAGATGCATTTCCTTAGGAATCGACAAGCAGAACCGAAACTAACATTTCTAAACGAACAATGGCGGACACGTACAATTTGCGAATGAGTTCTGCCTTTTGTAAACTGAATGTATCAATAATTTGTCAATAAACGTCACTTGTCCGCCGGACAAGTCAATTGACAAATCTACTTGTCCGATATTGTAAATAACACGTCCCGGACGGTGGGACGTGTACTTTTTCGCACACTGTGAGTAAGGTAGCAGTGTGTGTTTTACAGTGTGATCATCTGATGATAGCAGAATTAGGGTAGGACAATTATTCAAATTGTATTTTATCGCAATATGACAAACAGGAGTGTTCAAAATGCAGGAGGATATTTAAAAAAACAAATATGTATCAGATAAAACAATTTAAATTAAATATTGAGGAGCTGCCGATATGTCCTTGCCTACACATATTCTTCAGTTTGTAAAAGCATATCAAATTACATTAATCCTCTATATTGAAAATCAAATTGCAGTATCAGTCAAATGTATCGCATTTATATATTAATTCAGAATCGTTCAGTGAACTTTAATCTTGTTCTTGAAAGGAATCTGAAACATAAAATACTGCTTCAATTAAAAACACATGTCGAAACACTGAAGCCAGATGTGCTGCAGCTCAGTCTAGAGCCTTATTATATTTAGCAAAATTCAAAACACTTGAGCGGGTTTTATTATTACAATCTACCAGAAGTAAGCGGGTAAAAAAAAGCCTCAATATCTGGATTAACATTACAAGCAGCAAATACTGAGGTCAAAGGTCAGAGCATCAGCAACCGGAGAAAAATAATTTACCTTTTATTGCAAGAATATGTAGATCGTTTTGTACTGTTAAACAAAATATGGCTACAGCCTGGACTATAAACAGTTAACACATCCACATATACAAAGACACACACATATAGCTACACACACACACACATACTTACCGCAGGTTTGTTGTGTCAGCTGAAACAGGAGTGAGGAAAAGATTGTGTTGCCGCAGAGGGCTTTTATATCTGCAACAACTGGCAGGCAGCAGGGGGGCGTTGTGGGAATATTTTAGACAACGTAACCCCTCCCCCTTTGCGGTGAAACACACACACACCCACATCACAAACAAGGGCTGCACAATATATCGATTTATTTTTATTTTTATCTCAACATGTACTAGAGCGATATTCAAAATCGCAGGAAGCCAAAGTCCCGGCTTAAAACTGGTATTCTACATATTTAGTTATGAAGATTATTTGAAGATACATATTTTTAAACATTTTTT